ATATATATATATTTTATTACGGTTCATTATATATATATATATATATGGTTCATTATATATATATATATATATATATATTTTATTACGGTTCATTATATATATGAGGCTCTTTTGCTTTGCCCGTTGAGCCTTTTCTGATCGTCACTTGTTCTTATTTTGATATTTATTTCCAGACACACCCGACACAAACCTGTTTCATGTCATCCGTTGATCTACACACTCATTATTCATACCAGGTAACAAATTCGTTTTTATTTTTTTATTGATTTATGTCTAATTTTCTGTGGCTTTGAAGTATAAATTATATGTTACTTATCACTCATTGTACAGTTAAAGAAAATCGATAGTAATTTCCATCCCCATCTAATGCCAATGCATTACTTTTGCTCTTTTGTGTGTGTGTGTGTGTGTGTGTGGCTATTTTTAATTGGCTACTTTGAGATATTTTAATGAGCATTTACAATTCTTTTTGATGTGGGAAGAATGATTTTGGCATCATGACATTACAGGATGCGGCCTTCTACTGCCTAAGACCTCTTGGTCTAGTGGCACTGGGGGGTTTGGATGGGGGTTGCGGGTTCAATCCCGTGTTGTATCAAAAAAAAAAAAGGATGTGGCCTTCTACTAATTTATTGTTCTATATTTTTCTTATGTCCTAAAGGATTTCTTTGGCATAATTTACTAAGAGGATTTCTTTGGCGTGTTTTTCTTCTTCAGATAATGTTACCAGAAGCAATTGCTATCGTTATGGCCCCAACAGATTCATCTAGGTAAGCATCCTTTCCACTTGCTGACTAGAATTTGTTACAGCTAAGCTTAATCTTATTGTTGATGTCGTCATCAATATTGTTATATCCCCTGGTCTGGTATTTTATTGCAACAAATACTCTTGTTAAGACTAGTGAACTTGATGTTTATTGTATGGTACTACAAAACATTCATTTAGGTTTGAGAAACTATGTTATCTAATGTCTGGTGGGACTGATTTTTGAAAGGAAAAGAAAAGAGGGGAGATAAACTCTCTAGTGGGACCGACAGTTTTTAATCTCTCCAAAACTAGAGAAAAAAGTGAGGAGAAAACGTTGAAAAGAAAAAGATTAAACTAAAACATTACCAAATTATCCTTCTACATTAATCAAGTCCATGAAAAATAAGAAAAGGTATAGATAAAACAGTAAATCCATGAATAATACTACTTTCTCTCAGCTTTACTTGCAATACCAAACAAGAAAAGGTTACTTTATTTCCTCCCGATTATACCGAACAACATAAGAGTATAATAAAATCTTATCTCGTAGGTTTTTCTTGTCCCTCTTGTTTTCTTTCCTTCCTACCAAACATATTGTTTGTGGCGGGAACCACGGAAAAGTGGTGAGGAGGAGATTTAGCATGTGGCAACATGCTTACTGCTGGAACTTACTGCGTTTTCTCATTTGGGAGATGAGAGATGTTAAACAGATTTTTTCGAGATTGAGATGTGATAAATGGAAATATCGTTTATCGTTTATCCACTCTCTGTTATATAATCACTGTCAGCTTGCTAACTTATTTGCGATTCTGTTGCAGTCCAAACGGCATATTCCATTTGTCTGACCCAGGCGGGGTGTCGGTTATTCGCAACTGTCAGCAGCGCGGGTTCCATCCCCATGAGGAGCCTTCTGATGGAAGTGCAATTTATGAGCACTGCTCTCATGTCTTCATGAATGGCAATATAAAGTTTGATGTTATTGATCTTCGGTGAAATCCTTCCTTTTACTGTTGACTACACTTAGTTAAGAGATAACTATTTTTCAGAAAGGAATATATACGTATGTATATCACCCCATGATCTGCGTTGAACCTAATCCAATTACTGTAAATTCAACTGGAATCTGAATACATAACTTGTTGGAAATACAACTTTTTTTTGTGTGTGTGTAAGCAATACTAGGTTGACATTGCGATCGGCCTTGAAAAATTCTCGATTATCATGTTCAGATTCGAGAGGTGCATGTAAATTGTGTAATTTGTATTCGAAGTTTTGCAGACTCAGTAAATTGTTATTATATGCACAACTGTATAATCTTTCTAAATAGGTTCTTAATTTGTGTTTTTAAGTTATTATGCAATGAAGAAGTGATTATGTCCACTAAATTACAAAAGTTATCATCAGTTTTGTGGTCAGGGACCCAAATTGCTAAAAAAAAAATAGAAAAGCTCAGAGATTAATTGGTATAAAAAAGGGAAAAAAATATATATTAGGATCAAACTGTCACTAACAGCCAAGTCCATCATAGTACATGGTGAGGAGGCCATCTAGTGATATATTATATATATGCTATTATATACTTGATGATCAACATACTTTTGTCTGCTATACGAAGAAAAATACATAAAACATTAGAAATGCGAGATAATGGAATCATTATCGTCGTTGATATTATTATCTTATTATATGTGTGTAATGTTTAGGCCCAGTCAATCAAAAACTAACCGAATTTCAAATTTCCCAAGTCAACAGGTTCGCTTTTTAAAAAATATAAAAATAAAATAAAATGCGATCTTTTCTATTCGGATTTTTCTAACCTGATAGCTTTTTCCCTTCAGATTTTTCTCACCTCATATCCTTTTCACACGATAGATATATATATACACCCAATATTGCAAAGTCTTCCTCACAACTTTCACTTTAAAAACTCATTTTCATCATAGTCAATTTCAAGTCCAAAAGATGAGCACATTTCTCATTATTGTGCTCTCCATTTTAGGCATATGGACTTCCCAAACCATGTCGCGCTCGTTGCATAAAGCCGTGACCCTCACTGAGAGGCATGAACAATGGATTCTTCGACATGGCCGCTCTTATGAGAACGATGCAGAAAAGAAAAAACGATTTAAGATTTTCAAGGATAACGTAAATTTTATTGAGCGGTTCAATAAAGGAGAGAACCGTACGTACAAGATGAGCATAAACAAATTCGCAGACATGACGCGGGAAGAATTTCTCAAAAAATTCACTGGATGGAAGATGCCTGATCACCGCTCAATAAATCTTGAATCTGATGTAAAAATGAGTTTCAGGTATGAAAATGTGGATGATGCTCCACCTTACATGGACTGGAGAGAGAGAGGTGCTGTCACCCCAATAAAGCATCAACATTATTGTGGTAATTAAAGCCCAGTTTAGTTCGTTAATCCGAGTTTTTAATTCAAGTTGAGATATGACTTTACGTGAGCTTTTAATTACAACAGAAAAAGTTAAATGTGACTTTTTATAAGAGCTCTTAACTGTAGTAAAATTAGAATTAAAAACTCGAATTGGTAAAATGAACGAAGAAAAAAAAAAATCAAATTTTTAATATTCACTTTCATTTCTATACATTATCGTTTAATAGGTAAATAGTATTACGTGATGAAATGGAAATCTAGATCATATTTTAATTCATTAAATTGTCTTGGCAGGATCTTGTTGGGCATTCTCAGCAGCTGCAGCCGTGGAAGGAATAACACAAATCAGAACCGGCAAATTGCTCTCACTATCAGAGCAAGAAATTTTAGATTGCGCCGTCTATGGAAATAATGGCTGCCGAGGCGGTTTCGTGGAAAACGCCTTTTCGTTCATCATACAAAGCAACGGCATAACAAGTGAGGCAAATTACCCGTATCAAGGATATATGAATTACTGTCGAGCTCGTTCCTATCCGGCTTTTGCTTCCATCACTGGCTATGAAAATGTGCCTGCGAGTAACGAGCGGGCGTTGCTGCAGGCGGTGTCCAGACAACCAGTCTCCGCGATCATCGACGCAGACATGATCGAGTTCTACGCGGGGGGTGTCATAGCCTACAACTGCGGGACCGCGCTCAATCACGCCATACTTATCGTCGGGTATGGCACCACTCAAGATGGAATTGACTATTGGTTGGTGAAGAATTCGTGGGGCGTCGACTGGGGCGAGCAAGGGTACTTCAGGGTTCTCCGAAACAGTGGCTTCGAAGGCGGTGTTTGTGGCATTGCCATGCGGCCTGCATATCCAACAATCGACTAGTAATTGACGATATCACAAAAATACCTATTAGCTTATTAATTTTATCTATAATTAGCTTAATTAGTTTGTTAGTAAAAAATGTAGGATCCGTTTAGTTCGCTGATTCAAGTTTTTAATTCGAGTTGAGATGTGAGTTTTTTGCTGGAGCTAAAAAATTAGATGTGACTGTTTATGAAAACCTTTTACTGTAACAAAACTCGAATCGGTGAAATAAATAGGACCGTAGTTGTTTATTTATGTTTATTTTAGTTGTTGGCTGGGAAAATGCCTTGTTGAGACTGATATTTTGGGATATGTTAAGTAAGCTTTTGCACATATGTGCCAGTTTCGCGTTAATTTTTTTAATTTAGTGTGCAATTGGCATATACGAGATTCGTGGCTAATCTATTGCAAATTAAAACTAATCGATATACGAATAAAAAATATAAAAAAAAATTAATTAAGACCGTAATAATTGTGACTGTGCAAGGGGCAACTCTAACCTTGTCATTACTCTCTAAAATTTGAACTCCTGAATATTCTCTCCGTTATGCACAACGAAAGCAAATTAAACAGTGCATGTGAACCAATTTAATAATTTTGTCAAGAATGGCATTGACATGCCGTGACGATTTCATTTCTAACTTTCAGTCCCAAGTAAATGAAGAAAATTAAAACGTATACAAAGATTATAATCACACTATATATAAAGAATAATGTTAGGAACACCAACTCAAATACCAACTTTTGTATACGATGTTTATCATTTTTATATTGGTGGGTCTTTAAAATATTGACACGTCAATTAATGATAAGAGATTGCATTTACTAATAAAAATATAACAACTCACGTGCTATATCAATTGGTACATAAAAATAGAGATTTGAGTTGGTGTTCCTAGCACTACTGTCTCTAAATTATTAGATCACATTGAAATAAAGATAGATAATGTGTGTGTATATATATATGTGTGTGTTTGTGTATTTTATTTGATGATATGTTTACTTATCAAAATTAGAGAATGAGAAATGAGTGTTAATCTCATGTTTACTTATTATTTTTATTTTTAAAATGAAAGTTAGATTGGGGGGTTCTACTCAATTTGAGATTGAAGACTAGAATTGACAATCCCTTGTCCCCCTTCAGAATGCGACTTGATTCCTCATATTAATAAGATATTACTATCTTACCCATAATTTATTTATAAATATAAAATGAAAATAAAATAAAAAATAATAATTTCAACTTATATTTATTATTTTATTTACCTAATAATATTAGCCTAATTAGTGTATTAACTTTAATACAATAAATATGTCTTTTATTTTGTTTATTAAAAGTAATAATCTATTTTAATTTTTAACACTTTATTTTTAATTTTTACTTTTTTTATTCAAATTTTGACAATTTATTTTGTATTCTAAATAATTATTCAATTTATATATATTATTTTATTACCTATTATTATAATAGTATTTTAATTATGATTAGTTTTAATATAATTAGTACACAATTTATTTTTTAAATTAAAAATACAAAATTTATTTAAAGAGTATATTTGTACTTTTACACTAGTTCATTCTGATTATGAGTGTAAGTAAAAGTATGAATAAAATTTAGAGTGATTTTAATTACAAATCCTGTCATTAAGTAAACAACTTATTATGATTCTAATTCCTTACTTTAAATTCTACTCACTCAGAATCTTGCCAACTCTAATTCATGCCATTCCAATTACATCACTACAACAAAAAGGGTTATTAGTGATGACATTATTAGCGACGACATTTATCGATAACTGGGGGGACATGCATCATCGTGGGGATACTTGGGTTAATCCCCAAGCTGAGCAGACTTTTGTAAGTATACTTGTAATGTTTAATTATATTTTTTTTATTTGAATCGCATTATGTATTTAATTATTTTTCTTATAATATTTGTAGCATCGGATGGAAGGAGAAAGAGAAACGCAGATCCAGACACAGTCTGCTACTTCTGGATTATCCGCAGTAGGAACAGTTAACGATGAGGATATTATGGAGCAGTTTCTAGACACCTGCAGAGGACACAAGACTAGAGTGGGTCGCACACTCCCACAAAAAGTTTATCGAGGGGATGCCTCATCATCTGGCTCACGCTCGGCAAGATCTTCTACGACACATTCTGACCCACATGTAGAAGAATACTTACAACAAAGTTACTAGCAAAATCTCCAGTTGTACGAGAGCGTCAGAATGATGCAGGATTTCATCACTCAAATGCAACCCAACATGACTTTCCTAGCGGTTACTCTTCCTGTGTCGTATGTTCGTCCATGTCATCCGCCTCCAAATCCTTCTGATGATAACAACGATACTTCTATTGATGCTGCTAATTTAGGAGATTAGATTTTTATTAATGTAACAATTTGTATTTCCACACATTTCTACTATAATTACATTTTTATTTTTATTTATTAATTACTTTTTATAATAATAATTTTTATTTATAATTTTTATTATTTATTTCCTTTTTTTTAATTTTTATTTTTATTTAATATCATGAATTATATTTATTATAATTATTAAAATGAGAAAAAAATAAATAAAAAATTAAAATATTATTTGCGACGACAAATGTGGTCGCAAAAAATATAAGCCATGTCAACTAAGTCTGCATCTTTTGCAATGACTTAATTCAAAAAATATTGTCGCAAATATTTAATGCCATGTCATCTTAACGATGTAACCGACGAAATAATTGCAACGACTCATTTGCGACGATTGTCGTCGCAAATATAATTGCGATGACAAACTATCATCGTAAAACTTATTTTTGCGACGATTCAATTGCAGCGACAGATTTGCGACGACAAGTGATTGTTAAAATTCATTTGCGACGACTTTATATTTTTATTAACGACTTTTTATCGTCGCTAATAGTGCATGTAATTAAACATGCCAACAATTAAAACCCAACTCTCTCTCTCTCATACATTTATCTTATTACGACATCAAACCATCACTCACAGTCATGATATAACCGTCAAAACACGTTGATCATGAGCTAAACTTTGTAAGTACAACATATATGTGAAAATTTTCATATTGGTACTCCGCGTCATAGCGTAATTGTCTTTTAATATCCTGTATTTTTAATAATTTTAAATTAGTATTTTGACGTTTTAAAAATTTTTTTTAGTATCTTAAGGTCATTTTTTAGGATGTAAAATGTCAAATTTATTATTCTCATTACTTTACCAAAAAATTTATAATAAATATAGAAAAATTATGAAATTTTTTTAAACATTTAAAAATTAAAAATAAAAATAATGCTTTAAATTAAAAATAATTTTTTCAGATTTTTTTTTTCTTCTAAATTTATTAGTTTTTGGTAAAGCAATGAGAAGGGTAAATTTGACATTTTACGTCCTAAAAAATCACCTAAATGTATTAAAAATAATTTTTTAAAATATCAAGGTACCAATTTAAAATTACTAAAAATATAAAATACCAAAAGACAATTACACTGTAACACATGGTATCAATATAAATTTTTTTTCATATTATATGTTTTTCCATATATAGTTAGTGTCCCTATTTTGTTTTTTTCATGGGCCATTTTGGACCCCATTAGAGAAGGTATTCCCTTACATGTAACCATCCCTATTTAGAGAAGGTACTCATAAAGAAGTTGTATTACTATATAGCCGTCATAATAATGTGTACATTTGCATACCTTTTCATTGAGTGCTTTGTGCCTTTATCAACTCCAACCATACTAAGTATTTCATATTTTTAGTTAAAATGTCTTTTTTTTTTCTCTACTCTAACCATTAACTAAATAGTTAATTCTTTTGGAGAATGTCTTTCACACTAGCTAAATATAGCTAGCATGCAAATGTTAGCCATTCAATTTTTTTTATTATTTTATTCTTTCAACCGCAATAAATGCATATGTTCTTTTTTTAAATTCAATAAAATTATTTATATTTTAAATTAAATATATATTAAAATAATATATATTTAATTAAAATAGAGAGTATGATTGGAGTAAATCACCTAAAAATTACTAGTTAAAATAACTTTCTAGCCATATTAGTAAAAATTTAACTAAAATTTGGAGAGTTTCTTTGGAGATGCTCTTATAGAATATAGTTTGACGATATATTTAACTAAAAATTCTAACCGGACGACTGTTTATTAAAGTTTTCCTCTCAAGAAAAAAAGAAACTAAAGGCCTTCATATCGATGCCAATATATACTATGTAAAGGTCAATTCATTAACGAAATTGACTCCGACAACAAGAAATACTTTTTTTTTTTTTTTTTTTTTTGCGAGAAATCAGTATAGAAACAACTCAACAAAGAATTTAACCACCCCTAAGTTTTTATCAATTAATCTCAACATATATAATAACGAGCAACACTTCATATATCATATTTGTTTATCAACTTTGGTATATAAGAATTTACCACCTTCATGTTTTAGCCATTAATCAAAATATTGAGGTCTAAGAAGATCGATCGACTATAATTCATGTGGGTAGCTAAATGAAAATTATTAGGTTATATTTGGTATATTAAGTTCATTTGTTTATAAGATGGTGGCAAAAGAAGAAAACTAAAGAAATATATATTTCCTTGTAGACCATTAATTTCTACACAAAAATAACGAGAATATTCGATAATATGTAGACGTACTAACAAATATAAAGACATGGGCAGGGTCACTACCCTTTATTTACAACAATTCAAAAGTATGGAAAGCAATTACTCTTAATATGGATATATGGTTGGGGCAATTCAGAACTTCTCAATATATATATATATATATATATAGGTTTTTTGTTAGTGGCAATTTATTTGTAACGTTTAATTTTTATTTTTATTTTTAAAAACAACACAAGTTCAAGATAATGCAGAAAAGCGGAGGTGAAGATTATGGCCCCGTTCATTTCACCGATTTGAGTTTTACTACAATAAAAAAGCTCTTAGAAACAGTCACATCTAATTTTTTTGATACAGTAAAAAGCTCTCACATAAAATCACATCTAAACTCGAATTAAAAACTCGAATCAGCGAACTAAACGATCCTTATATATATATATATATATATATATGTGTGTGTGTATATATATACATATTATTCTCTCTCGTTGTGCGCAAAGGAAGCAAGTTGGTGTGTACAACTTTGTTGTGTCTTAAACAGTGCATGTGAACCAATTTAATGTTTTGCCAAGAATGACATTGACATGCCGTGACTTATATTTCATTATTAACTTTCAGTATCCCGAGTAGATGGAGAAAATTATAAAAGGTACATTGATTAAAATCACAACTTATATATACACATATATATATATATATACATGTTCATATATAGGGAGAAAAGCTTATGGTGGGTTGAAAAATTAGTACCATATAGATATTGTAGTGTCTGGATTATCAATTATCCCATCACATTGGAATAAAAAAATGTACGTAAATTAAACAAAATTTGATCATAAAAAAAAAAATCAACAGTAAAATGACAATAAAGTACATATAGAGGGTTGAGAAATAAAAGTTGATATACATCTTCATCACTTAAATGTGATTCAGCGATTACAACTTTTCATTCATGCACGCAATGCAACAGTAAGTACAGGGTGACATTAAAAACACACAGCTAAAATTATGTACGTGCGATACATGATTGGACTGAGGTACCTTTTTATTGGTTTAAGCTTTTAAGATTTCATTATTTGCTCTTAATTTTCTTCAATTATAACCCTTTGGAATGAGTGCAGAAATATATATACATATATATATATATATATATGGTATTAGAGAAGGAGTTGAAAGTTCATAAATAATAAGCAGTCAACTTAAGTAGAGGAATTATGGTGAATCAACTACATATATAGGTGGTCCAACTTTTTAGATCAAAACCTTAAAAAAAAAAAAAAAAAAGATGTTTCTGTAAATAAAGTGAAGTTTATTTCTATGCAGTTTAGATTTATAATTGTTATCCCCAAAGTTAGATGAGAAAAATAAAAGCACTGACGTACGTCTTGGGCATATTTAGCAGCTTTAAGGAAAAGAGTCGCTTAATAAACGTCTCTCTCATTGATTTTATTTATTTATTTATTTTGGAAAGTAAGTAATATCTCTCTCTCATTGTTTGTTAGATAAAGTTTTTGTGGAAACATTGCGAGCCCATTTGGTTAGAGGATTCATTTTCTAATTCAATCATGGTTCATGATTTGTTATAGTATTTTCTCTCATAAAAAATACACGTAAATAAAAAATAATTCTAATCTCATGATTTTAATCTATAAACTAAACAGACGCTAAATCCCATAATCAATTTTGAACTTTTGAGACATTCTTACTATTATTCTTTTTTTCATGTACTCTTGACCAAGAAGTTTCTAATCAACTTAATTTACAAAAAAAAAAAAAAAAAAAAAAAAAAAAAAAAAAAAAAACCTTTTTAACACGTCCCATAACATATGACCAAAACCCAACTGCGCCACACACCCCATTTCCTCATAAAGTTATCTTATCACAATGTACAACATTTAACCATCACTCATAGTCATGGAAACCATTAAACTATGTTGCTAAACTCTGCAAGTACGTACAACATATATTTTTCATGTATGTTTATGGGGTGTGATTTTAATGGTTACTCTAATATTTACTTATCGATAGGTATTATTATTTAGTCATAAAATATTAATCTGATAGTCGTAATAAATTAAATAATTAATAAAAAAATTAATAACAATTAATTAAATTAAATTCTTTATTACGTCAAGTCATCAAATTTTTATATTCAGAGGTACCATTAAAAAATAGGTCGTTAGTCTTCATATATTTTGTACTTTTCATGGACCATTTTGGACCCCATAATAGAAGGTTACACGTGGCCATTGGTGAGGAAGAGGATCCACAAATTAATAGCTATAGTTCATAGGTCTATATGTCGTATATTCCCTCCATATAAATATTTATCCCATTTTAACTAGAAAGCAAACATCATTGTCTCTGTCTTTCTTCTTATTATTCTTCTTCTTCTTCTCCTCTCTCTATCACGTAATTAGTCCACAAAATATGGGAAGAGCTCCATGCTGTGAGAAGCTGGGGCTAAGGAAAGGAAGATGGACAGCTGAAGAAGATGAGCTTCTGACCAACTACATTCGCGAACACGGCGAAGGCTCTTGGAGATCTCTGCCTAAAAATGCAGGCAAAACTTATAGATATATTTAAGGCTTTATTTTCATATATAATAAGCCTGATTATTCCTTTAAGTTATATATATGAATTGGTTTCACGTAACTGATTATATATTTGTGTGTCATGTCATGGCTTTTATAAAGGATTGCTAAGGTGTGGAAAGAGTTGCAGACTGAGATGGATAAATTATTTGAGGGCTGATTTGAAGAGAGGGAACATCACTGCAGAAGAAGAGGAAACCATTGTTAAGTTGCACAATGCTTTTGGTAATAGGTAAGCGTTTTTATATGTGCACTTCTCTAGCTAGCTAGTAGAACTTTATCCTTTTCTGTTATGTATTTTATTGTATATATTATATATTTCTTGTGCTGAAATCTTTGTGTGTGTATACATAATATGGTTGGCGTTCACAATATTATGTATATAATTAAGCCCTTTTAACGTTGTACTACATAGATAAATTGTAATAACTGAACTTCTCACTATATCTATCTATTTTTTATAACTCAAATCTCCTTGCTTCTATATTTTTGCCATGCGATTTCTTTTTTATTAAAAAAAATGTATATATTCACAACCATTAAGTTTGAGCTACAAAATGAACTATCTAGTCTGGTTAAAAAGAAAAAAAAAAAAAAAAAAAAAAAAAAAAAAAAAGGGATACCCCAATAAAAAAGTAAAAAATAATTTTTTTTTT